TCTGAATACATCCGCCCACCCCTTCCGTCTTCTTGCTGGATTAGAACAACCATTGGGGGAGCCTGGAAAATTCTTCTGAGGTTGAGGGTTTTCTGAGTGCTCTCAAGGGGTGGGGGGTTCCTCGTCTGGGGGTATTCACAGGCAAGCCCCTTAGCCATTAAAATACTACCATTAAAAAAACACCAGGTCTTTGCAAATGTTTATTTCAAAAACACATAGTTACTCTGTTGACCATGTTTAGAAAAGTAGAAAATGTTCCAAAGTGCTCCCTATTCCTTTTATAATGATTGAGTAACTTTAATACTAAAATCCTTAAGGTAGTACAAAAAGAAAACTAAAGATTGGTTTTGATGAGTATACAAGATTTTCAAGTAAAGAGTAAATTAAATCTAGCAGTTTATTTAAAGAACTCTATTAGACCCAAGAAAGATTTAATTCAGAAACATAAAGATGGGAATCTTAAGAAGTCTGTCTACATGATTTATTATATGAATTATTTAAAAGAGAAAATAGTGTACTAACAGATGACAGAGCATTTGGGGGATATTTAGCAGTCATTCTTAATAAAAAGTCTTTTAAGTAAGATAAAATTGCAATAGAAGGGAAACTACCCAAACGTAACAAACTGTCAGAAACTTAATGTTATATAAAAAGGCAAAATACATTAAGGCATTTCCAGTAAAACTGGAAATAAGGTCGAAGATGCTTGTTAATTTTATTCAACATTGTTTTTGAGGCATTAGCTAATACAGTAAGGTAGGAAAATGAAAACAGTATAAACATAGAAAGAATCATTATTTGCAGATGATACGAATGCTTAGAAAATCTAGGAAACTCGCCTAGAAAATTAGTCGAGTTCATGAGAATTTGGTGAAGTGATTGGATGGAGATAGTCTAAAAAAATGTTTTTTAAGCTATGCTAAATGCAAAACAGTTTGAATGGAAATTGGAGGTAGAGAGTGGGCTAGAGATCCTATTCAGAAGAATGACCAAGAATAATGACCAGTTGTTTTTTTAAGTTATTAATTTTAATTCCAGTGTAGTTAACCAGAGTATTATATTAGTTTCAGATGTCCAATACAGTGATTCAACGATTCTCTACATTACTCAGTGCTCATCACAATAAGTGCACTCTTAATCCCCATCACCTATTTCACCCATCCCCTCACCCCACCTCCCCTCTGACAACCATCTGATTGTTCAAGTATGAGTGAAATCTTACGGTATTTGTCTTTCTCTCACTTACTATTTCACTTAGCATAATACTCTCTAGCTCCATCCACGTCGTTACAAATGGCAAGATTTCATTCTTTTTTAATGGCTGAATAATATTCCGGTGTGTGTGTGTGTGTGCACGCACGCACGCACACATAAACGCCACTTCTTTATCCATTCATCAGTTGATGGACACTTGGGCTGCTTCCATATCTTGGCTATTGTAAGTAATGCTGCCATAAACATTGGGGTGCACGTATCCCTTTGAATTAGTAATGTTCTTGTATTCTTTGGGTAAATACCCGGTAGCGCAATTGCTGGGTCATAGGGTAGTTCTATTTTTAACTTTTTGAGGAACTTCCATACTGTTTTCCATAGTGGCTGCTGCTGTTTGCATTCCCACCAATAGCGTAAGAGAGTTCCCCTTTCTCTGCATCCTTGCCAACATCTGTTGTTTCTTCTGTTGATTTTAGCCATTCTGACAGGTGTGAGGTGATACCTCATTGTAGCTTTGATTTGCATTTCCCTGATGATGAGTGATGTTGAGCATCTTTCCATGTGTCTCTTGGCTATCTCTGTTGGCCGTCTGGATGTCGTCTTTGGAAAAATGTCTGTTCATGTCTTCTGCCCATTTTTAAGTTGGATTATTTGTATTTTGGGTGTTGAGTTGTGTAAGACGTTTATATATTTTGGATACTAACCCTTTATCAGATATGTCATTTGCAAATATATCTTCTCCCATTCCGTAGGTTGTCTTTTAGTTTTGTTGATTGTTTCCTTTGCTGTACAGAAGCTTTTTATTTTGATGTAGTCCCAGTAGTTTATTTTTGCTTTTATTTCCCTTGCCTTGGGAGACATATCCAGAAAAATGTTGCTATGACTGATGTCAGAGATGTTACTGCCTGTGTTCTCTTCTAGGATTTTTGTACTTTCAGGCTTCACATTTAGGAATAAAATGACCAATTGTTAAATACCTAGGAATATATTTAAGTAAGAATGGTATTGTGGGACTGATAAGAATTATGTCAAGATCTTACAAGAATTATGTCGAGATCTTACTGAAAGACCACAACTATAGTTGGAATATATGGAGAGACATGTTACATTTCTAGGATGAGAATACCAGAACAATGTCTATAACTTCCTAATTACAAGTAATTCCAGTCAGAATCCCAAGGAGGTTTTTAGAATTAGATCAAATGATTTTCAGTTTCATTTGTAACAATAAATACTTAAGAATAGCCAAGAAAAAAAATTTTTTTAATATTTTATTTATTGGGACACCTGGGTGGCTCAGTCGGTTAAACACCTGCCTTAATCTCAGGTCATGATCCCGGGGTCCTGGGATTGAGCCCCGCATCGGGCCCCCTGCTCAGTGGGGGAGCCTGCTTCTCCCTCTGCCTGCCACTCCCCCTGCTTGTGCTCTCTCTCTTTCTGACAAATAAAATCTTAAAAAAAAAGATTTTATTGATTTGAGAGGGTGAGAGAGAGAGCACGAGACGGGAGGGTCAGAGGGAGAAGCAGACTCCCTGCTGAATGGGCAGCCTGATGTAGGGCTGGATCCTGGGATTCCAATCCTGGAACTCTGGGATCATGACCTGAGCCAAAGGCAGACACTTAATCGACTGAGCCACCCAGGTGCCCCTCCAAGAAAAAATTTTTTTTAAAAATCATAGTGCAGGGAAATTTGCCCTGTTGTTTAGTAATTTACTGTTAAAGCATAGTAATCAAATAGGGAGTGTGATGTTGACACAGGAATGCACATATAAGAGGAATGGCACAGAGATTTTGAACATGTCTGAGTGTGTATTCGTACAAGTAATAGATGGCCTAAGGTATATTTCAGTTTGCTTGGGAAAAGGAGATTGAGTTGATTTCATAGGTGATGCCAACACAATGGGCTGTCCATCTCCATGAGAACAAAGTTAACATGACCCTAGAAGCCATAGAAAAATTAATCTCAGATGGCTTAAGCTCTGGATACAAAAACTAATACATTTTAGGTAAATTTAACATATTTAACCTTGGAGTTGGAAAATCTTTTAAAGACAAGAAACCCAGAAACTACAACAACAACCTAATCCCATAAACGAAGCTGAAAAACTGGTAACAAACACGACAGGGATTTAATCCCTTTAATAATACAGAGAGCCCCTACAATTTAAGATTTAAAAAATAAGATAACTATATAGAAAAATAATAAAGGACATGAAGGAAATAAAGGTATTTCTCAGAAGACAAAAATCAAATATCCTATAAACTTATAACAAGATGCTCACCCCTGTTAGTGGCCCAGCAAGTTCGTGTGAAAACATTAGCAAGGGACCTGACAAAATAGAAAGAGGGACAATATCCAGGCAACAGGTGCTTGCATGCATTGCTAGTTGGGAGTGTGAATTGCCATCTAAACTATAAAAACTAAAATGGACATGCCTTTGGTCTCAGCAACCCAGTGTTTGAATGTCTGGCCTATGAGGAGGCTAAAGAGTAGTACATTTTTTATGGAATGATATAATTTAAAAAAATACCATTACCCTTCAAAAAAAATCTATCCTTACCTAGAACGATGTTAGATGAAAATTTTTAAGTTCAGAATGTGTGTGATCCTAGTTCTAAAAAAGAACAGCATATGTGTTTATGTGAGAATGTGTGTTGGTAAGAGTATATGAGCATAGGAGAACACTGAGCATATCCCACAGGATTGATTAGTGTCTTCTAGATCGTTTTGTGGTTGTACTTAGATGATGCATTAAGTGAAGCAGGTTCTAAAACAGTAGGGCTGTAAGATCAGGTTCTTAAAATTGTGAGTGAGGATCTGTGTAAGAACATTCAGAGGAAAAATTCTAGAATAGGTTATTTTAGGGAATTTTGACAAACTTCTGACTTCTATGAATTTGTTTTTCATGAGTGTATTTTGTAACTAGAAAAGTAAAAGACAAGGAGAGTAACTCCTGCTAGTTCGTTGCCTACAGCCAGATGGGTCCCCAGCATGTAGCTTCAGTACTTCAAAGATTAAGGCAAGCCCCAAACTGAGTTCCTATACAGTTGACCCTTGAACAACATGGGGGTTTGGGGTGCTGACCCCCCACACAGTCAAAAACCTGCATATAACTTTTGACTCCCCCAAAACTTAACTAGTAACATAGTGTTGACTGGAGGTGTTACCAAGAACATAGTCAAATTAACACATTTTGTATTTTATATGTGTTATGTACTGTATTCGTACAATAAAGTAAGCTAGAGAAAAGAAAATGTGATTAAGAAAATCATAAGGAAGAGAAAATACTTTTACAATGTTGTACTGTATTAGGAGAAAAAAAAAAAAAACAACTGCGAATAAGTGGACCCAGACAGTTCAAACCCATGTTGTTCAAGGATAAATGTGTTTACTGCACAGGATCTGTTCGAGAATTCCAACTCTTAACTGCTGTACTCGTTAGTAATTGTGATTGTGGGAGTTGGTATTTCTTACACGGTTGTATTACCAACAGTACTCAAAATGGTTAAAAAAATGAAAAACTGTAGGTTAATAGTTCGAGGTGAGATGCAAAAAATCAATAGACAATGAAGTCATTCAGTGCCTAGCATAAAAGAAAAACTAAAAGTAGAGGAAAATAGAGATGGTAGTAGGAGAGGCAATACAGATTAGAGTTAAAAGTGTGAACTTGGCCTTCATATAGATCTAGGCGTACTTCTTGGCTTTGTTTCTTATTGGGTGCCTTTGGGCAAGCTACATAACCCCTCCCCCCTTTCCCTCCCTTTCTCCCTCCCTCACTCTGTCTCTCAAAAGTATGGAATGCTTCAGGAATTTGTGTTTCATCCTTGTGCAGAGGCCATGCTCATCTTCCCTGTATCATTCCAATTTTAGTATGTGTGCAGCCAAAGAAAACACTACATAATCTCTCTCTCTTTTTTTTTTTTAAGAGAGGGGGAGGGGTGGAGGGGTAGAGGGAAGAGAGAGACTCTTAAGCAGGCTTCATGCCTCTCTCAGCACGGAGGCCGAGGTGAGGCTCGATCCCACAACCCTGAGATCATTACCTGAGCCGAAATCAAGAGTCAGACCCTCAACCGACTGAGCCACCCAGGCGCCCCTACATAACCTCTCAACTTGGTTTTTCCATTTGTACACTGTGGATACTGATAGTACCTGTAGATTTGTTGCTTAGATTAAATGAGAAGGCAGACAAAGCCTCTAGCAGGCACTGAATTGTAGCTGTTAAGAGGCATGGATGGAAGTCATTTTTGTTTGGATCCCAGCAGCAGTTTGCATTTTCCTCCCTCCCCTACGAGGCTTTAAATATTTCCACCCACATGCGTCAGCTCACGTGCATCTATTCCTCTTCTCTTTGGAAGGTTCTAATAGAAGACTGTATTCCAGTACTGAAGAGGTACGCCAAAGAAGGGAGAGAGTTTGATTATGTGATTAATGATTTGACAGCCGTTCCAATCTCCACATCTCCAGAAGAAGGTAGGTTCTGTTTTTTCTTATATAACCAAGATAATGTTCATGAAAATGTTTTACTTGGCGCATTGTGAGAATGGAAGGATCTTAGAGCTTGTCTCCTTAATTGGTTCCTTAATTTTTTCAAGGTCGGTCAGCTGAGGCCCACAGTGGAAAAGATGGCTGGATTTCAGTCACTGAATGAGCAAATTTACTCAGTTGTTGGAGAGAAACATTAAATAAAATGACTCACAATTACATCATTGAGAAATTAGCTTGTTTGAGAATTTATTTCTTTTATGTGATTTTTAACCTGTACTGGGACAAACTGGTGAGCTTTCTCTGCAACACCAGCGATAATTCCCCATTCTCAAACCACATGCTCCAAATCAACTGCTGGTGTGGCATTTCGGTGTTAGTGTTTTTTTCTGTAATCTTGCCTTCCTGCTGAGCTGGCAGACTGAGTCCCCACGTGATGACTCTTGGTGTTTCTCTCTTGGGATGTTGCTGCTTCCCCCTTAAGCTGTTGTCTTTCAGATTTCAACCACTGCCTTTTTGGTCAAATCTTTATTGGTATCGTTAAAGCAGTGCTAAGCACATGAATATTTGCTTTTGACCTTGCTTATGTGCACGTGTGTGCAGGACACCCAAAAACGACAGTAAATTTTCATGAATAAGCTCTTGAATATTGGGTCTTAAGCTCTTGGCTATTTCTTTCTTTTTTGGGTATTGTTGTGTATATTTGACTTTTTAGATGTTGTTTCTGATGAATGCAAACCTATATTTTATATAACTTAAAATTTTTTTTTAACATCCAGATTCCACATGGGAGTTTCTCAGACTGATTCTTGACCTCTCAATGAAAGTACTGAAACAGGATGGGAAATACTTTACACAGGTAGACTACTTAATTGTTTTTTCCCAAAACTCTCAATGAAAATTGCATATTTTGAAATTTGCATGTATTTTATTGAAATTTATATCTGTTAAGGATAGAACGTCGTAACTGAATTATGTTCTTTCAAGCAGTAGTTTATAAATAGCTGACCTGTCATCTCTTGGGAATTCATGAGTCCGTGCGTGTCCCCCGTGCCCACTGTCCAATTGAGCAACCTTGGGCTCTGGCTGTAGTATGCGCTGCTGCCACCAGATGGAGACACAGATTGGGATTGGGGTTTTTTTTTTGACTTCTCGCTCTTCTAACCCTCTAGGAGATTCTTCATTGGAAAGCCAATTTATCAACATAAGTTTCATAAACTGCTTTGCCTGTAGTATGAGCTCCTACCACCAGATGGAAGCAAATTGTTTCTTTCTCATTCTCTATGGGATTCTTAAAATTTAAAAGAAAGCTTAAAGTTTGTATATCTTGTTATGTAAAATATATATTACATATATATAACCTACTAAAGCCCGAAGAAAATTCTGAAGATGATCTGAGTCTCTTTACTTGGTACAACAATCCCTTGATTCATAAGCAGAAGATAAACACTTACTTGGGTGGTATTGCACTATGGTCCCTGTAATTCTTCTTGTTTTGTTTTTTTTAAAAGATTTCATTTATTTATTTGACAGAGAGAGAGAGAGAGAGCACAAGTAGGCAGAGTGGCAGGCAGAGGGAGAGAGGGAGAAGCAGGCTTCCCGTGGAGCAGGGAGCCCGATGCTGGGCTCAGTCGCAGGACCCTGGGATCATGACCTGAGCCAAGGCAGACGCCAACGACTGAGCCACCCAGGCAGCCCGGTCCCTGTAATTCTTAAAGTGCTTTCAGTAGACCTCCCCCACCCCTTTAAAAAGCATTAGTATATTTAATGTCAAAAACTAGTAGAGAGGTCTTAACTTTATTCTTCCAAGGAGGCATTTTAATGCAGGCCCGGGGGAGTTGATGGGATCTGAGATTAATAATGCTGAAAACAACTTGGCAACTCTAAGAGACACCTTGATTTGGTCTTCAGTCCATCCTGTTTTCCTTCTTTTCTCCCTGCACGAAGACACCACCCCCCCCATGGTGATTAATCCTAGACCTTGCACTTGGTGAAAATATTGGGAAGCTTCGAGGGAAACCAACAACTGTTTATGAATGGATTTTTTTGGCCTGATGTTTAGAAATGATTTTTTTTTTTAACACATTCTAGAAAGCAGGGGTCTGCAAACTATGGGCCAAATCTCCCCTACTGCTTGTTTTGATAAGATTTTCTTGGCAGACAACCACACCCATTCATGACATTTTACCTTTGGCTGCTCTCATGCTATAGGGGCAGCATTGAGTAGTTGTGGTGGGGACTGTGTGATCTGCATAGCCTAAACAATTTCAGTCTGGTCCTTGACAGAAGTTTGCAGACCCATGCTTTATAGGAAGTCTATATGGGGAGGGCTTCGAAGAGCTGCGCTGTGGAGCGGGTGGGAATTGAGCTGGCTCTGGTGGGCCCGGTGGGTTTGAATCCAAGGAAGATCGGCTTTCAAGAGATTCAAGTCCTGGGACTTGACCTCCCTCCCTTCTCTTCCCCACTTCCCACTAAAAAAACCCTAGAGGTTCTTTGATACAAAATTATGTATGTGGCATTCTTGTAAATGATTATGCTAAATACCAACCCCCCTCACTTGAGAAGTGGACGTTACTAGTACCCTCGCTTGGCATATCCACATTCCTCCCTAATTCCTGTTCACCTTCCAGAAGGTAACCCATTTCTTTTTTATTCCCGTATTCTTCTTTTTCTTTCTTTTTTTTTTAAGTAAACTCTGTGCCCAATGTGGGGCTCAAACTCATGACTGCAAGATCAAGAGTCACACACTCTCCTGAGTGAGCCAGCCAGGAGCCCCCTTGTACTTTTCTTTTTTTTTTAAAGATTTTATTTATTTATTTGACAGAGAGAGACACAGAGAGAGAAGAAACACAGCAGGGGGGAGTGGAAGAGGGAGAAGCAAGCTTCCCGCGGAGCAGGGAGCCCGATGCGGGGCTCGATCCCAGGACCCTGGGATCATGACCTGAGCCGAAGGCAGACACTTAACGACTGAGCCACCCAGGCGCCCCTGTACTTTTGTTTATAGATGTTTCACATATGTGTAATTTCCTAAATCATCATATTGTTTACCTTGCTTTTGAACTTGTTAAGAATGTATTCTTCTGGACCTGTTATTTTTTTTTTACATTACAGAAATCTTATGCTGCTAACTGTAAAATTTAAAAGATAAAAACAGGTGCCTGGGTGGCTCAGTCGGTTAAGTGTCGACTCTTTTTTTTTTTTTTTTTTTTAAGATTTATTTTTTGAGAGAGAAAGAGCACGAGTGGGAGGGGCAGAGGGAGAGGGAGAGAATCTCAAGCAGGCTCCCTGCTGCGCACAGAGCCTGGCGCAGGGCTCGATTTTACGACCCTGAGAACATGACCTGAGCCTAAGTCAAGAGTCGGATGCTTAACCGACTGTGCCACCCAAGCACCCCATGTGTCTTACTCTTGATTTTGACTCAGGTTGAGCTCCACGTCGGGCTGCGCAATGGGTGTAGAACCTACTTGGGATTCTCTCCCTCCCTCTCCCTCTGCGCCATCCACCCCCATGCTCTCTCTAAAAAAAATAATAATAAAAGATAAAAACAGTACAGAAATCTATAAAGTAAAAAAGCAAGTGTCACCTACCCACACGTAACATGGGGCAAGGAAAACTTTGACCAAACTACTGAATTGGTATTCACCTCTTAGAATGCCTTCCCCTCCAGTGATTCCCTTCCCATCCTTAAGAGGTATTTAATTCTCTGCTATTGGGTTTTTGTTCTGCATCTCCAGTGTCTTTTTTTTTTTTTTTTTTGGTCCATTGAGACATTTTATTTGCATGTATGTATTCCATCCCTAGAAAAAGAATCCCAGGATTTTCCCTCCTGTGTGTTCTCACCAGCTAAGGGTGTCAGTACAGATTCTTCTGCCATTTTTCTAGATCTTTGAGTTGTACATCAGATCTGGGGCTGATGACTCCACACTTGTTTCACCTGCCTGTGAGGTTCACAACAGTGTTCCCAGCTCTGTGATCATCAGTGATTTCAGATTCACCAATGTAACCGTGCTAAAATGATAAGCCCTACCCCACACCTACGGAATGAAAATCACTTGTGATTCACATGCACATCACAGTGAGAAACCAGACATTGACTTTGGAGCCTGGCTTATTAAGTACCTGGCGTTTGCCTCTCTTCTCGGCATTGTTAGTGCTCTTGAGAACATCTGCCAGGACATTCATGCGCACCGTTACGGCAGCAAAGATCCAATATGTCTTTCTTAAGAAAAGAAAGAAATGTATTTCCATTTAAAAACACAGGAAAGTAAAATGTATCATTACTTTTTTTGGGTAGGTCTCCATTTGTGGTGAGTTTTCCTTTCTTTTCTTAAACTGCTTTTTGACAATGTTGAGGAAGAACAAATTGAAACTTTCCTATATCCTTACCACATTCTCAGTAATGACGTCCTCCC